AGGAAAATCCATCCTTGTATGATTGGTGGTTGGTAAAGAGAGGACCTGGTAAAACCCTTGGAAATGTCTCAAGTTCCAGACCTATTTAGAGAATTGCTACACTAGATAAACACAAGCCAAAGTCTTTGTTTAAAAAAAGAGGGCTAAATTACTAAACTAGCTAGTCAAATATTTTTTCAGTTATTTACCAATCCAAGGAGTAAGACAATAGTTTTAAACTGTTACAGAATATTCAAGAAATACTAAAAAAAAAAAAAACTATTTTTTGAACATTAATTTTGTATGAGACACTGTGTTTAAAAACACATGAAAGCAAAACATGCATCATCCCAAAAATCACTTTGCACTATTATAGTTTGCACTAAACCAGAAAAACAGGAAAGCTGCAATGAAAATGACTAAAATAAAAAATAACAGAAAACCAAAAAGCTTGACTACAACTTCTTGATCCTCCAAGATTACAATTAATCATGTTTTAACTATGGAACATCTCTGAAGATAAAGCTTGAAAAGGAAGGGGGGATACAGAGTTACAACAGAAATATTTTAGAGGGCCAACAGGTAGCTTGGTTCTTGACTCCCACATGACAGACCACACGAATCCAGACCTGATGGCTTGCTTTCTCACTTTCTCTCTGGTGGGCACATGTGCTCTACAGCAAATAGGGGTGAGCATGTAGCATGGTGTTTGGGGCACTGGACTTGCAATGGCCAACCACAGTTTGAGTCCCAAACCCAGCAGCTTACTTTCTCACTTTCCCTCTCTCTCTATCTCTCACTCTGTTAATAATTTTTTTAAAAAAAAAAAATTAAGTAATTCTTTAAAAATAATAAAATTAATTATTTAAAATAATAAATAAAATTAAAATTTTTTTTTATTTTATTTTTTTGAAGAGATTTTTGCTATAGGGCACGTGCGCTTGCCCGAAAGACAGAGCGAGACAGAGAGAAGGTGAGAAATTATCGCCCCCTCCCGGGAGGGGATGGCCACACCACAATCCCTCCATTCTCTCGGGATCCTGGGTACGCACACACACGCACCCAGCTTGAGTTTAAGCCACCAGGTCTGGGACTTGAACTGCAGTCGACTACATGGGAGTCAAGCAACATAGCCATTACCCAACTGCTGGTCCCTAAAAAAATATATCTTTTAGAATGAAAACCTCAAGAAACAACTATCACCTACATTCCTTAAATATAAATATATATAGATATAGATAGATAGATAGATATAGATACATATTATTATGTACATATATTATTCTATTAGTATATCTAGTATAATAGTATACTGTATATTTATATGTATATATATTAGATATGTATCTAGTATAATAGGCTAAAACCTGTCATGATAATAGAAGGAAAAGAAGGTAGGTCTAATTTATGTGTTGAAAACAGAATGTCTAACCATCTAAATTAACCATTAACCTTCAGTAGACTGTCAGGGTCCATAAAAAGCACTTTAGTTTTGATTTTCTTTTTTGAGTAGTTCTATTTGTAAAGACTGGCACTTTATGACTTATATTGCTTCCTCTTAATAGATACCTTCAAAGGAAAAATTTATGAATATTACTTTTAAATAAACCTTCTTTTTTAATTTTTTATTTCCCAGAGGATGTATGTGCTTGCCAGAGAGCCTTCTCTCCCATTTATCTCTCCTTTCAGTATTTTGGGCATATACGCCTACACATGCCTAGCATGTTTTCAAGCCACCCAGTGTGTTTTTCAGGTCACCATGTCAGGGATCCAAACCATAGAGTTGGCCATGTGGGATCCAGCTAACTTAACCACCAGACCATAGGCTGGCCAGAATAAAACTTACTCTATCTTACGACCACTATGTGGGTTTATAGAGGAATTATTTTATAAATCTAAAATTCATTATGAGATCTTAGTTATTTTATTTTTCCTATATTTTGAATATTCTGCTAATTCCATCATCCTGGGCATTTTTCACCTGCTTGTCAATTAATCTCAATCATGCTAAGAAAATAAAAGAATGATTCCATTGCCTAGATGTAACAGTGAAATAAATCATGACTATAATCCTTCACTTTTCCTATTTTTTTTTTTTGGTTCTCTTATCATTTTGCACACAAAAATCACAACTTTCATAAAGGTATAGATAACTGAAGACATCATATTTGTAGCCTGTATCACAGAAGAAAAACTTCCTCTACCTTCTTAGACTCTACCTAGGGGGTCTGTGAATGAAACTAAGAAAAAGCCTTTTAGCAGGAGAAAAGGCATACAACTTTTATTAATATTTACATGCACAGGAGTTTACAGAAAAGAAGTGAAATGCAAAGAAATGGTTAGACTTAGGGGTTGAATGTCTATTTTAACAAAGCAAAGAGGGTTTGGGCTTTGCAGGACAAACACGGGGAAGTAACTAAGAACTACTGGAGACAAGTTATGGAAAATAAAGGCTTTTTTATTTTAGTAAAGTATGTTTACAAATTCATCTCTGTGTCAACTGTACATCTCAAGGGAAAAAGAATTGCTCTTCTCCTCCTGTATTAAGGAAAAACACTTCACAAAAGGAAAGATATGTCCCGTGTTTAGACAGAGACAAGGACAGAAAACTTCCTGCATCTGTTGATTCTCAATTGCTTTCAGCTCAAAGTTGCATATTTGGGGGTGGCATATCCTGATCCCCTTCATCATCTTTTAGTCTACACTGAATACAGTTAAGAACTCAGAATTTTTAAAATTTTTTCCCCATAATGGAAGAGAAGCAAGTTGGCTAAGGTAGACACTTCACAGTTAATAGATGAACCAGATGACTGCAAAGACAGATTAACAACACTTTAGACTCTAATGACAGTGAAATCGACCATACAAGGGAGATCTCAGTGTCTTATGATAAGACATCCTAGATAAACTTTTTCAAACTTAATCAATGGGCAGACAACATATTTCCAAAATCAAAAAGTAAACATGGCACTGTCGTTAGACAGGAAAGACTTCATCACACAGTATTTTTGCAGTAAGAATAGGGATCATGCTATTTTGCTAAAAAAAAATGACATTCTTTAAATGCTAAAATTTTACTGATACAGTTCATATGTATACAGTGTTAAACGTAACATACACAGAAGTGAATAGAAAGTATCCAAAGATGTAGAATTCTTTTTTTTCCTGTGCCAGAAGGCGCATGTGTGCATGAGGGAGAAAGCACTCCCTCCAACAGGGCTCAGTTCCATCACAATTCTTGTTTCCTCCTTTTCTCCACCCCGTCAGAATCCTGGGCACTCACATATGTACCCAACATGTTTTTCAAGCCACCTGGCCAAGATCTGAACCACAGTCAGCTATATGAGATTTAGCTCCCTCTGCATAGCTTAACCGTTGAGCTACAAAACTCAATTGCATTTCTGGCCTGTCTACAAGATACAGATTTTTTAAAAATTCATTCATAATCTTATCTGTATATCTGTAAGTGTGAAAGTGAAAATATCTTGCAGTTGTGAAACAAAGATGATGGTCAACCTTTCCTTGACAAAATTATGAACTACTGAAGGTTTAAAACAACTTTTCAAGTACTGCACTTCTCTGAAGCATATATAAAAAGACAACACAGAAAGAATAGCAAGAAAGAATCTATTAGGGAAGCATGTGAAATCTCAAATCAGTATTTACAAGCTAAACAGTTCTCAGGTCACATATAACAGCTAATAAACACTGAGATGTACTCAGACAAAACTGCCCACACCAAGTACATGTGTCTTCAAATATGGAAAATAAGGAATAAAAATCTGGGCAACAAGAGACAGTGAAACATCATAAGCTTGGAAGATACAATTTACACAGAGATTTAGAAAAAGGGTGGAGCCAGCAGGTGGTGTGGTGGTTAAAGGCGCTGGACTCCCACATGGCCAATGGTGATGCAAGTCCCGGATCTAGTGGCTTGCTTTCTCGCTTTCTGTCTCTCTCTGTCTCTCTCTGATCAAACTGGAAAATAATAATAATAATAGTAGTAGTAATAGATAAAGTTCAATAATTCTTTTTTTAAAAAAAGAGCAAAACCAAGAACAACAAATACTACAAGAACTGACAGAAAAGTTTTTTAAGAGATATTTTTATTATAGGGTATGTGCAGTTGCTAGAAAGACAGAAAGAGAAAGAAATAACCCGCCAGGGAAGATAGCCACACAGCAATGCCTTCTCTTCCATTCTCCTTTCAGGATTTTGGGCAAGCACACACATGTGCCCAGTGGGCGTTGCAAGCCTCCAGGTCAGGGTCTCAAACTGCAGTCAGGCATGTGTGTGCCCAGCGCCTTAACCACTACACCATATACTGGCTCCAACAGAAGAATTTCAATACTATCAGAAATATAATTACAAATATAATTATAAATACAAATTTTTATAAGTTTAGAATTGGTTGAGTAATATCCAGCAAGAGATTTTTATTATTGGCATTCTTAGAGTAGGATTGAACTGTGAATTTTCACAAATGGAAATGCAAGAGAAGTCAGCTGCATTTAATGTAGATTCAAACATACTCCATTATTCTTACTATTCTAAGAAAAACTAGTTATTCTTAGCTCAATGCGTTCTCAACCATCAGTGATTTCAAAACCCATGTATAAGTTATCCTCAAGAGATCTGTATTTCCCCGTAAGAGGGAAAGATATACTCAAAAAGGTCAGAAACTATCCTTGCAAAAGAATGACTCGAAGATGGTCTATGATTGATATTAGCGCAAAGAATACTTTTGAGACCAGCGGGTGGTGTGGTGGTCAGGGTGTTGGACTCCCCACATGACCAACCATGATTTGAGTAGTGAATATGGCAGCTTGCTTTCTCAATTTCTCTCTCTCTGGTAAGCACACGTGCCCAATAACAAATTAAACAACAATAACAATAAATGAAATTTTTTTAAAAGAATACTTTTATTACATGGAAAAGCTTCAGGTCAAAACTAAATTACCAAGAAAACTCATTATGCAATTGGGAAAAAAGTTGCAGGCACTGAGAGAATTTTGTCTTACCTTTCAAGTACAATATTCTTATGCACAGATCTCAAAGTGACAAGAAAGGAAGATTGTTCTTTGTGTAGATACAAAAACTACAAAAAAAAAAGTGTGCTACAATTATAATAAGGATATTTGTCAAAAGTATTTAGATGTGGTGTATATTCATTGTACATGAAATATTTTTTTTATTTTTCTAAGGTCTGCTATGTTTAACCTCTTATTAAAACCTCCAAAAAGTTGTTTTACATTATGTCTTTCTTATTCCTACAAACTATATAAAATAACTTAAAATATAAAGTCATTTCAACCCAGATAGGAAATAGCAGTATATTCATTATATCTTTCCAACTATATTGAAAGCACATAGAATCCTTAAAAGAAAGAAGTTTTGCAGAAATGAACCAAAATTCAAACCAGAGGTTTTTTTGTTTGTTTTTTACTTTCATCCACATTTATTTTATGCTGACTTTATTCCCACGCCATAAGTTTTTCTTCTTCAGTTTCTTCAGGGGTATATTTTTCTTCTGTGTGACTTCCTCTTCCAGTTTAGGTACAATTTGCTCCTTTTCAGTTAGGACCATTTCCATGTGGCAAGGGGCTCTCATGCATGGGTTAATCCGCCATGAGTTCTGTATGTACGACAGTGCATCTTGGGTGCCTTGTTCACCTGAATATATGCTCAATGACCAGAGAATCTACATCTAACCCCTTATTAAGTTCAACTTTACTCTCTGCATTTTTAAATTCTATACAGCAAAAATTCAGCACTCTTTGGGTCACCAACCTTGTGTCCAGTCCCACTGCAGGCACATCTACCAACTCCACCACTGTTAACGATAAGTGGCATACACTGCTTCTGTAAAGTGACATCCTTCAGATACTTGGTGGCTTTTTGGATATGTATACCCTTGATGTCCTGGACAGTTTCATGAGTGCTCTTAAAATGAACACCAAGATTTGAACCTCTCGATTTGTATGACTTTGCGGGGTTCTCTGGGTCAAGTGAATCATGTTCAAAGATCACCTCAGATCGCTTACAAGAGCTCAAAACAGAGTTTTTAATACAAGTTACTGAGTAAATCAAGTCATTTAATCATTATTTAAAGCAATCTGAGGGACCAGTAGTTAGCGGAATGACTATGTCGCTGGACTCCCATGTAGTTGACCGTGGTTCAAGTCCCGGACCCCGTGGCTTAAACTCATTCCAGGCGCGTGTGTGTGTGTCCAAGATCCCGAGAGGAAAATGGAGGCGAAGGGATTGTGGCGTGGCCACCCCCGCCCCAGGGGGTAATTTCTTGCTTCTTTCTGTCTCTCTGTCTCTCTCTGTCTTTCTGGCGAGCACATGTGCCCTATAGCAAAAACTTCTCCATCACCCCCCCCAAAAAAAAGCAAATTGACTATGGACCAGCAGGTGGTATAGTGGTTAAGGTGCTGGATTCTCACATGGACGATTGTGGTTTGAGTCCTAGACCCAGAGGCTTGAAAATCATACAAGGTATGTGTGCATGTGTGCCCCAAATCCTGAGATGAGAAGAGAGGAAAAGGACTTGTGGCAGAGCCATCACCCCTAAAGTGTGATTTCTCACTTTCTCTCTATCCCCATGTCTCCAGTGAGCATATCAATAGCACAAATCTCTCAAAAAAAAATTTTTTTTTTTGACTAAAAAAAAAAAACAAAAACAAATGTTTTGAGTCCCTCTCTGAAACAGAAAAACGATTCAGGATTATATAATTAGAAAAATGACTTTTTCTTTCTTTTTTTTTTGAGAGAGATGTTTGCTATAGGGTTGCATGTGATCACTGGATAGACAGAAAGAGAGAAATCACCCACTGAGGGGATGGCCACACCTCAATCTCTCCTTCTACATTCTCTTCTCGGGATCTGGGGTGCACATGCATATACACCCAGCATTGAGTTTTAAGCCACCAGGTCCAGAACTCAAAACACAGTTGACTATGTGAGACTCCAGCAATGTAACTATTATACCATCTGCTGGTATAATAGTGACTTCTGAGGGCCAGCCAGTGGCATGGTGATTAAGGCAGCTGGATCTCACATGACCAACTACAAAGTTCAAGACCTGGACCCACAGACTTGAAACACATGCCAGGCATGTGTGTGTGCATGCCCAAAATCCCAAGAGGAATATGGAAGAGAACTGACTGCAGAGAGGCCAATCCCCTCTCTCCAAAATGCTTTCTCACTTTCCCTATCTCCTTCTGTGGCAAGCACACAATGTGCTATAGCAAAAAAGAAAAAAAAAAAAAAAACAGAAAGGAAAAATAAAAAAGAAAGAAAAAAAAAGCCCACTGAGTGTGCAGTGTATGCACGCCCAAAATCCTGACAGGAGAATGGAGAAGGGAACGCAGTGTGGCCATCCTGGGGTGGGGAGGGGAGGGGAAGGAATTCTCACTTTCTCTCACTCTCTCTGGTAAGCATATGCCTTATAAAAATTTTTTTTTTAAAAAATGTGACTTTAGAAACAATAAAATATGTTCTCAATATGAATTTCCAATTTTCTGTTCCATAACACTATAGTTTACCTTCCATGTACAAAGCATGCTGGCATGGTGGATAAGGTGCTGATTCCCACAGGGCTGACTGTAGTTCAAGTCTCTTACCTAGCAGCTTGTTTTCTCACTTTCCTTTTCTCTCTCTCTCTCTCATCAAAATTTTAAAAATAATAACAAATGGAATAAAATAAGTAATTTTTTTTAATTATTATTTTCCTTTGCCCCCCTTCCCTACTAAAAAAAAAGCCAACATTGAGTAGTAAAACACTGGACTGAAGAGGCAAGACTAGGTCTGGATTAGACTACTAGCAGCTAAATTGGGATGCCAAGATTTGCAGTCCTCCAACATCAAACTACCTCTGACCTCTTTTTAATCACTGCTCACTACTGGTACAATCACCTTAAGCAAACTTTCAAAGGCAGCAATGGCTTTCTCACATCTACTTTCTGTCTTCTCTCCTCTCCTCTCTCTGGGCACTGGTGTCAACTTCAGCAGCAATTCCAAGTGCCCTAAACTAAAAGGATTAGTCCTGTTCTCCAAAATTGCTCTCCTTCTTCCTAACTCAAACATCCATTCCTAGAGGACTGCTCCAATTGTGTCTATCAGATTACTGCAGGTAAATTCACACCAAGTACTAATGCCTAAATGTCATCCCACAGACTACTTGGTAACTACAAAAGGAAATGCTTATAATGGAAAGATAGCCTGTCACTATGTTATCCAAGAGATTAAATCTAAGATTATGAGAGGACAACTCTATGTGCCTTCAGATGTTGTACACTATGAAGCAGCACACACCATGACTTATGAAGTATTCTGTTAATATTAAACTTGAGCATACTCAAGCCTTTAAACCTAACTTCAAATTTACCATAAATAGGGGGGATAAAGTAAACAATTTTAAACAGGGTAAGTAAGAACTATCACTAAAATACAGAATGTGTATTACTCTCTAATACTACTAACCTGCTCTTTTAAAAAGAAAAATTAATTTTTTTTTTAAAAAAAAGGAGAGGGGAGGAAGAATTACTCTAAAGAGTCTAAGACAAACAAATGTAATAAATTATGGGATCCTGAATTTTTAAAAAAAAAGACCAAGAAGAACATTTTTAGAACATGGGAAGAAATGTGAATATATGCTCCATACGTACATAAAATCTCACAGAATATCCTTAACTTTCATAAGTGCTATTACAGTATTGTGTTATATTTAAAACTGGCTTTAATCTTATGAGATACATACTGACTCATAGTATGCAGGGATGAACTATCCTATCCAAAATCCGCTTTGAGGGAACCAGCAGTTAGCGTAATGGCTATGTCACTGGATTCCCACGTAGTCGACCGCGGTTTGCGTCCAGGACCCGGTGGCTTAGAACTCACGCCAGGCGCGTGTGCATGCGTGCCCAAGATCCCGAGAGGAGAATGGAGGAGAAGGGATTGCGGCGTGAACACTCCCCCTGGGGGGTGATTTCTCGCTTTCTGTCTCTATGTCTCTGTCTGTCTGGCAAGCGCACGCGCCCGATAGAGAAAAACCTCTCCAAAAAAAAAAAATGCGCTTTGAAATATTTAGCAAAAAGGGTACTGGTAGACATAGCAAATGTGGCAAAATGGTAATAACTGTTAGAACTATATGATAGGTGTGGGTGTTCAAATGGGTTGTTTCTCATTTCAGTATGTTTGAAAAAAGTAATGATTACTTGAACGACAAAGAAATGGATAAAAAAATGTTTTTTAAAAAACCACAAGTGAATAGGATTTCCTGAATTTTAAAGCTGTACCTTCCTTTTACCACTCATCTCTTTTCCAGCGAAACGGACAAACTAGAATGAGCTGAGCACTCAATGAGGAGTCAGGAGACCTAAGGTTTTATAATTGGCCTGGGCTTGGAAGCCTGTGACCTCATTAAAGTCCCTCCCTGAGGCTGTGTTTCTCACCCTCTATCAACAGACCACTTCAAAGGGTACTAATCAGGTGGTATCAATGACAGATACAAATATAGTTATAACGGTATTTGTAGTGGTGTTAAAACATTAAGGGCACACAGCCCTAACTTATTTGTATAAGCAAACCAGCGCCTAACAGGCACAGTGAGTTTCTGCGTAGACAGCTAGAGTTGGCACAGAAATCCCTCAAAACAGGACACCTTACAAATGCTAGGAGGAGGCTTTTGTACTATCGAAGCCTTCTAGCGTTCGATTTTATGTTTTAATAGTATTAAAAGACGTCAAATTCTGAAGACTCACAGTCTAAATCTGAAAACAAAAAGCTAAATGCTTAGTCGACAGAATTTTTAAAAACTAACAAATCTTGGCAAACAAAGAGAATCCCTTGGCCGAAGGAAGGTTTCCCGTGCTCGCCGCAGCTGCAGCAGCAGGTTCCCTTGGACGTTCTACCTCCCTAGCAGATTTCTCCGTGAAAGCGTTTAAACTTCAGTTAAGTAGGAAGAAACTCCTTCCATCTCTACAGCAGGATGAAACCTCAAGTGAGATCATTCTTTCCGTCTCATTTAGTGAGACCTGCAAATCTCCGTCACAAAACTGTGTGCCCAACTCCACGTTTCTCCTCGGGTCCCTTCTCCTGCAAGACAATAACGGGACTGCCATGGCCGCGCGGGGAAGTCCCTCTGACAAGAACGAGGGTGTGCGCGCCGAATGACCGGTCACCTGGGCAAAACGGGGGCCCCTGTGGCTGTAAGTCCCGACCCCCTTCGGTCTCCTGCTACACTGAAGAGACCCGCGGCTGGGCTGCGGTATGAGGAGCACGGGTCTCCGTCAAACACAGGCACAAAATGTACAGAAGACCAAAGGGAGTCGCCGGGGAAAGAAAAGCCAAACGCAGGCCGGGCACGAACAGGCGCACAGGCCCGGGCGGCGCTGCGCGGGAGAGGCGGCGGCCTGCACT